TTAATTTATAATTATAATAAATATATAATGAAAATAAAAAATAAAAATAATTAAAAATAATTACGCATTTGATAATAAATGATATAAAACTTGTCTTAGTCTATTCAATAAAGGATAAAATATTAAATAATACACTCATCATTTGTGCGCTTAATACAGTGTAAAATATATTTTATCACCTTTCAGGATCGCTCATAACATATCTTGGTAATCGATCTACCTCGTAATTTATGATTAATTCAATATTTTTATCACCAGCTTTTTTCCCGAATTCCTCAACTATGCTCTCAAATAATTCTAATAAATCAAATGTTCTATTTATTAGAGAGTTTTTTTTTGCTTCTAACTTTGCTACATAAAGAATATTGTTTACTATTGATAACACGATATCAGAAGCATTTGACATGATATTAATCATGTCCATTTGATTAGCTGTAAAAGTAGCACTCTCAAAGGTGGAAAGAATACCCACGATTGCACCTAGTGGTGTTCGTAGTTCTACAATAAGAATAAGATCAATCAGAATTATCAAAATAAAAATTTTAGCAGCATACTAAACAACAATATACCATGAGATGTATTTGCTAAAATTTGATTCTTTGTATAACTTGCAACTTCAGCAGCTTTAAATTGAATTTCTTTCTCCACATTTTCCTCTGATAATTTAGAATAAGTAATAGCTAAACTTATTTGATTAGATATTCGTTGTAATAATTCTACTTCAGAATCGAGCCAAATGGAATTTGGAGATCTATGAACTTTTATCCATCCCCAATAATTATCTTTTAATCTTAATTCTACAGATAATTCAGATACATTTTTATTAACATGTTTACAATATGTATCCAAATAAATATCTGTTCCCGAATTATTATTTAAACCTTGCAACTTGATAAATGTTTGTGAATCATTTTCATCATTACTAAATTCCATGAATGGGTTGGTTATCGGCGTTATACTTTCAGAGCCTTCATATAATACAACTATATTATTACTTTTAGATTCAGATTGTTCATTTGAAATGATAAATGTTCTTTCACATGGCAATCTATTATAGATTTCTTTAACGACATAAAATAGCGTTTCATCTAGATTTAATTCGGAAATGATCTTGTTTGATATTGAAAGCAACAATTGGTTTGTTTCTTCTTGTTTATATTGTTGAAATAATATTTTATGACGAAAATGTGAGAGCTTAATATTAGTGCGAATGCGGGTAATTAGTTCCCGAGAAGAAAATGGTTTGAATAAATAGTCATCTGCTCCTTTGTTCAAACCTAGAGATATATGCAAAAAAAAAAAGATGAATAAAATAAATACACTTAACTTACTAATAATTTCATAGTTAATTACCTTGAATTTTAGAATATTCAACTTGTGCAGATAACAATATTATGGGAATCATTTGAGTTTTTACATCAGATTTTAACACACATCTAATAACTCATGCCCATTCATATTTGGCATTATGACATCTAATAAATTCAAGTAATACAGTATGATTTAATAATCGTTTATGTAAAGTAAATCGAGACAATCCGATTATAATTACTTGCCACTAAGTATTAAATCTGGTAGTTTATTAAGCCTTTTTAAGACTTGAATAGCATCCTGGCCGTCGCAAGCGCAATATACGTCAAATTCTTTTAACAGATCCACTAAATAATCGCTATAAAACGTGGTTAATAATAAACAAATTTACAAGTTCCTAATATGATTAACAAATAAATAGTACCACATATTATTAGATATTTTTTACTATTATCTACAGTTAACATTGTTTTATTGTTCATATTTTGATCATTGGTTGACCCTTGATCTATTATATCATATTGAGCTTTTGATGTACTATTTTTTATCCATTGAAAACTTTCTTCTAAGTAAAGTTGTCGATTAGAGTATAATTCTCGACCATGGTTTATTTGGTTTTCAGCGTGTATTTGATTTGTTGATAGGTGTTTACATCCTATTGGAAACCAACATTTAAACGTCGTCCCATGATTTACTTTTGAAGTCACAGTGATATCACCATTATGGCGCGTAATAAACTCTTTTACGAGAGCCAGGCCTATTCCAGTACCTTCGTGGCTACGTGAACCTTGAGGTTTTACACGATAAAAACGTTGGAATATATTTGGAAGGGCAGTCTCCGGAATGCCAATACCTGGATTTAAAAAAAAGACAATCCGGATATGTAGCAGTGATCCAATTTTTAGATATGATTTTAAATAGTTATATAAAGCAATAAATTTAACGTATATATATATATATAGACCTGTATCTGAAACTTCAAGAACTACCATTTTTTTATTATCTTTATAGTCAGAATATAGACGAATTGTAATAGATCCATTCCAAGTATGCTTTAATGCGTTCGAACCTTTAACAAGCAAAATTCCTTAGTATGCATGCTTCAATAATGTAGTTTTGTAGAAAAGCTAATAAAACGCTTACAAAGATTAAAAATAATTGTTTCAAACATATCATGATCCAAATAGACTTTATCTCCTATTGCTTGAGTTAATTTATCATGATGTGGAATATCGATATTATAATCCAAGCCTAATATTTTAGCCATATTTTTGAAATCCGAAACCAATTCTTGAGTAAATTCAGCTATGTTTGTTTCACGATAGCATGCTTCTAATTGATTTGTTTCTATATTTGAAAACTTTGCAAGAAATGAAGTAAATTTAATAGGTCCAAAAATCGGTTTTGATATTAATATTTAAGAATGTTATAGCTTACCTGTAATAAAACGTTGATAAGTTTGAGTAACCGACGACCGTTACGTCGCATAGTTTGAAGATACGACATTATTGGCGCTTCCTGTGAACAAGCATTAATTACGTCGTCAAGAGGTGAAAGCATTAAGGTTAATGGTGCTATAATAATAATAATAATAATAATAATAATACAGTGATAATGATAAGTCTATTTATGCAATAAAATTTTCTAAAAGGCAAATAATAATAATTAATACTTTTTAGTTCATTAGCCTTGAAAAAATATCGTTTTTTGATAATTTAAATCAGCCAATAGTTTAGACCGTTTCTTTTCTTCTTCTATTGATTGCCCATGTAATAAATATGTATTTATTTGATTTGTGACTAGCTAACAAGTTTTGCACGTTTGAGTATTATATATAAATAAAGTGAATATTATCTATGTAAACTTTTCATACTTGCAAAAAATCCATATATTTTTTATCAAGTGCTCTAAGTCGATTAATGCCACAAATTAACACAGCCGATAAAGATTGTCCTCCACAAAGTAAAATCTTTGTCGGTAATAATACAGCTTGAGATTCATCTTTTAAAAGAACTTTTACATGCTTTTCCTCTTTAATTACAAGGTGAATTGGCCAATATTCACACTTTAAAAATGAAAGAGTTATAGCATCCCGTTTTAATTCTATGTATGTATCGTAGTTCTTATTAGCATCTTCGGCTAAATAAATTATCTCAGGTGTTACTGGTAAATAATCAGAAATATGCCTTCCATCTTTACCATCTTTATCAAAGGTCGTGGAGATTAGACGGGCGATCAACGGTTCCAAACTAGTATTTAATCTGTGTTCGACAAAATAGATTAATGCATAAGAAATATCTATACTATTTTTTAATACATCCATCATAAGACAGGCATTTTCTAAAGATTCAATTTCTTCAAGAAATAATATGGTGATACAAATGTGTTAACCGATAAAATTCTAAAATCAAAACCCGATAATTAAACAGTATAATTATGAATACCAACCAGAAGCCCGCTTTCCCAATTCGTTTAATATCTTTAATCTTCTAGCATTCAAAATATTTTGAGTAGTTTCTTGTGCAATATCTAATATAGCACAGACTGTACCATCTGATTTGAAAATTGGACTGTATGTATAATCAAAATAACGTTCTTCAGCATATCCAGCACGATGTACTTTATAATATTCATCTTTTTTAAATATTCCTTTTCCAGTCGTTCTTACACTAAATACATTGCGAGAAGTTTAGACATGACGAATAAAGTTTTATTTAAGTAATTGTTCAACTCACTCTTCAAGTTGTGGAATAAGAATATCACATGATATTTGGGGCCAAACATCTCTAATTGGTTTTCCTAATGCTATTAATATTAATGAGGATGTTATTTTGTTAAAAGTTGATTATAAACATATGAGGCTTAATGTGTAATAACCGTATGGATGGTAATCTTTTAAATATCCTGAATATGCTATAAGCAAATAGATTATATATTTAAAGCAAATTGAATAACTAAATAGGCAAAACGAGTAAATTACTTATAAAATAAGTAAAATTTTGAAATTGATTACCATCATTATAAAGAAAGATCCATTCTGGAGGACCGATATGGAGACAGATGGGAAATGCAGAATTGAGGCACATACACTACATTAGTAAATGTGATTTTTATAAATTATATTTTTTTTTAAATAACACAAAAAAAATATATATTCAGTCAATTTTTTTGTAAAGAATCTCTATATAACGAACTTCGAATGTAGCAGAATTAACTATATATGTGTTTAAAGTACCGTAATAGCTTTGATTGTAGGTTCCCATAAGTCCATAGGGCCAAGTGAAGTCGATGACCAATCAAAATTATAGACCATGTTTATCATGTTTGTTTCTTCATTTTTGGTATCAGCAGTACTTGTCGAGGGTAGTGACATTTAGTTTGAAATAGAAAATGAATGACAAAAAAGCTATAAAAGAGAATTGAGTCAATAAGCCATCTAAAACAATTATTAAAGATTAATACATTTAAAGCTTGTTTTGGTAAAAAAAAAATCTTACATGCGTAATTATTTGAAATATTTTCCAATGTGTAGTTATGTTTCAATTAAAGAGTAACTTTGACTAACATATATATATTTAAAATAGATCTTCTTTTTGGCATAAATTTTGCAAGTACAACAGGCATGTACGTAAGATTTCGTAGAACAAACACGTATGTATCATCTTACATAATCTTATGTAAGAACAAATATGCACCAATTAGTAATTCCAATTTCTGAAATAAACCCGCGTAATTCGCTAATGCAAAAATTAGGATCCGTATCTAGTATTAATAAGATGGCCGTGCAACGTAGGATGGTAAAAATCAAGATTTAAATCAAATTTAGTGATTTAGAATCATTTAATATTTGTTACGTAATTAATGGCAAATACCAGCTGAATAAACAAAAACACCTTGCCAAAGTTCGGTTTGTATTTTGAACCTGTCAAACCAAAACATGTAATATTTTTTCGCTCTTTTGAAGTAATAAAATCTAATGAATGTTTTTTTTTATCTTGTATAAGATATTTACATTTATTAAATAGTTCTTTAAACAATCATTATGCTGATGGTATCCTTTTCACAGTGGATACACATTTGCCCAGTAATGTTTTATAAATTGTAAACAACCGTCTTTAAAAGGTCATCCGAGAAATGTATTCGTTACCATTAAAATTATATAATAAATGATTAAATCTCGATTTAAATCAAAATTGGCAATTTATATTATTGTGATTTAAATCTTGTGCCATCCCTAAGTTGCACAAAACATATTCGAAATCTAAAAAAAGTTATTAATAAATTATTTACATACCGACCTGATCTTAGCATTCATACAAGTATCCTTATATGGCTGTTATCATATAGTATTATGCATAAATTTGAATACTATAAGAAACCTGTATTACCATAAATTATATTACGATGATGCAATTTGTTGTAATTTATTTTAAAGTTTATTAGATTTACTACAGTTTACATTTTAAAATTTTTATTTATTTATTTAATCTTTAATAATTGGAAATTTAAAATCGCCAATAAAAGGTTTTTTCAATTATTTAACTGTGTTTAAAAGTTTAATTCAACTGGGCTATCACACTCACGACAATTCGGTGCCAGCAATCAACTTAAACAATGTGACAAATTTTATGCGGATAAATGATTTCAATCTTTAACTTACGTTGGATACTTCTTAAATAAGTTAAATTTCTAGATGACCGTCTTTTGGAATTACAATTATCATAACGAAGGCAACTCAATCATCGTGATTATTGTTACGTACGTAAGTCGTATTGGTATGAAAAGATAATCTCCTCATACGTAAGAATAATTGACAACGGTATTGCGGATAAAATGATATAATATGTTATGTACTGTAGTGCAGGATAACGATATTATAGGATAGTTGACTGATAAAATTAGTTATCACTTTAGGGCAGTGTTGGCAATTTTTATCGGCCAAAAAACAACCACATTCATATGGTTTTTTTGGCCAATTTTTTGGTTGAAAAGGCCAAACAAATTTGGGTTGGCTAGTAAAATTGACAACACTGCTTTAGGGGAAAAAAGATTGAAATAAAGTCAAGCATGTGCAGGCGTGATTATTGACTAGGTAAACCTAATTTAAATTTTTTTTTGATCGTAGGTTGCGCTATTATATGCCAAGCCTTTTAGAAATTAGATATTGGCGCTGCCAACTTGTAGATTATTACCATAAAAGGGAATCATCAAAGCGGGCATATCACGTGATAGACCGTTTTTCGTAGATCTCCCAATAATCAATCAATCTTCCCTAACGTGACCTAACACTAACCTAACCTAACCTAACCCTAATATAACCCTAACCTTAACATCCTAATTGGATAAAATCACGGGGATTTGTTGTGGGAGAACTACCGTACATTTTTACCAGGAACGGAGTGATATGCAATATCACGTAGTATATGGTTACTATAGCAAGTTAAGAGATGTGCGTCCGCAAAATCTCATATCTGATTGGGCAATGTGCTGAATGCAGTAAAAACGGGAATATTTGTGCTTAAACATCACGAAATGCATCACATGCTACCATATTTATATCTTGTATGAGATTTGTTTACCATAAGAACGATCTTCAACAGGTTTTTGTCTTGATTAAAGTGCGTGACGATCATTTATAAAAATGCGCTTGTTTTATATTATCGTTATTGTCTTTCAGAATTAACTAGCCAAATGTGGATTTTTAGCGCAAAAGCCTTGAATCTAAGCTGTAATGACTGAAATCAGTTCACATGACTCTTTTTCGTTACATAACGATAATGTCATGGGGAAAATTCTGATGCATATCCAGTGCTAGATAATTTATAAATACCGGATTTGTATTAGACTGAGTAATAGTGTGACGAATAAAATTTTTATAGTTTACTTGTTTCATTTTTTTTATTTATTTTATTTATTATATTTATTAGTATTACTAGTTATTTTTGTTTACACCAATTCCATTTTGATAACAAAGTCGCGTGTAAAAGATAATTTTAATCAACTATACTAAAATAGTAATTGATGGTGGCTTAGAATTTATGTAAGAGCGAATACGCTCAAAATAGCGCGTATACGCGCTTACACAAATTTGTCGATCCTGCGCCAAGAGCGTGAACGCTTAGATTCAAGCGTATTCGCTTAAGAAAAAGTGTATACGTTCGATTAAGAACGAATTCGCCCAAGACAGAGCGAAAACGCTCTGAGAATTTAAAATGTATATAAACTCATCTGTTTCAATAAAGTTTAAATAAGTTCCACATTCACTTTTAATGACTTTAAGTAATAACGTATATACTCAACTCTTGAGAATTTCGACTTGAACTTTAATAAAACCTTTCGTAACTCAATTCGACGGACTGAATTGACTTGAACCTCGAATAGGATTATTAAGACTCGGAATTTCTGTGTAACGGCCTCTTTACGTTTCGGAACTTGGTCACGTGATTTGCGTTCGGAAGAACTCTGGTAAAAGAAAAGAATTATTTGTTGACGAGAAAAGTAACAAGTCCCCACCTCCTTTGGCATCACCAGCATCAGCTGATTTGAAGGATTGCTGAAATAAAATATAATTTGTTGTATAAAGTATCCCTATATCATTTTTGGATCATATTATCGCTTTAGATATCAATTTCCGGTGATATCATCCCGTGATAACGATTATATTCATTCTCCCTCGCTCGATTGATCATTTTTAAGTTCTATCCTTTAGCATCATTATCAATCAATCATCAACTTCTTCGATCCTATTTCCGAATTATTTCAATTCATCATTCTTTCATGTATGCATTTTTAGTGATTATCCTTACTTCAATCATATTAAGTTAACTTTCGTTCCCAGTTTAATTATTTTAAGATAGTAGTACCTCTTCTTTTTATTTATATAAACCCAACTTCGTAATCGGTTGGAGTTTCAAATTGGCACTATTTGTCTATAATCGCCTTGCTCTCCCAAGCACAACCGTTACAATAGTAATCCATTTGTATTCGATCCATTTCTTTGTTTATTGTAAAAAATAATTAGCGTTAGTTATCTATCTAACTTTGATTAATGACGTAACTTTAATTTATCCGGTTTTGGCTACACAATGGAGCCAAGCCGATGAGCTGCAGCTTAAGCTATGACTAAGCATCTGAATTGCCTTTTAAAGCAATAGCTCCAGATTAAACCATAATTAATGAAGCCACGACTTGTGATATGGCTAGAGCATAGCTCTAGTTGTGGTAAATAATATCGGTAAGCTTTGCATTAATATTATTATGTTGCTACAGTAATAATGACTTTAAAGCAATATAGTATTTAAAGAAGCCATACAAGCGTAAACAGCTCTAAATCTTTAATGAGTTGAATTGGTCTACAAAATTCTGTCATAAAATGTCAGGTTTTTACATGATAATTCAATTAAGTATTATTCTTATTTAATTAATTGAATATTATCAATCAATATACGTATTAATTAATTTCTTGTTTCAATTTTTATTCATATGATTTAAGGGTAGGGTGAACGTAGATCAATTTTCATATGATTTACGTGGTACAACAAAATTTTATATAGAAAGCTAAAATACACTTCTAATAAAACCTTTTAGAATTATGGCCAATATCTACCAAAATTTTATAATATATAATTTGATATTTCGCATTTGTAATAGTAAAATTTTAAACTCTGTATCATTTAAAAAAATTTACCTTTATATATTGGTAAAAAAAACTTAAATCAACTCGAATTTCCTTAGGTCACACAAAAATTGCCAATCCTGATTGGCCAAATCAATGTTGTTTACAATCCTGATTGGTCGATTACCTAATTTCATATGATTACAACGTGATCACTATTAAAAATGATCTCTATTCACCCTACCCTTAATTTCAATTTAATGTAATAATTCACTACTAAAAAAATAAATTATTAAATACAATAAAATAAAAAATAACTAAGTTAAAATAAACTATTTTTAAATAAAAAATGGGTCTGATATAGAATAACGGGTCTATCATATTCAAATATCACATTTGCAGATCATCACATACTAGAACGTGTAAC